AACAAGAACTTGCAGCGTAAGTACAAAAAGAGAAAAATGTTGAGTTTATAAGGCTATGGAACTATAAGATTAAAAGATTAAACATGTTACTCTCCTTAGAATATTTACATTCTGTGTAATATATCTTCCAAATAGAGGAGATCTCAGATCTCTCTGAACAGATTGGTGAGACTGGAAAGACCATTCATGAGTTGGAAAAAGCAAAGAAACAGGCCGAGACAGAGAAGTCTGAAATTCAAACCGCGCTGGAGGAAGCTGAGGTACTAAACACAAAACATAAAAAAAATTGGTGGATATTTTAAAAACTTTTCTTAAGTAAGGTTCTTAGATTGTCAGTGTATTTTTAGAATGTAAGAAATACATTATTTAAAATGCTAATTTGATATTCCTGGTCTGTTTTTCCAAGTTCTATTTTTAAAAAATACAATATAAAAGGTGTGCTATTTACTTCAATATGTATTACCTGATATTATTGTACTTCATTGTCTTTTGGGTATACATCAACATTTTCTGTCTTCATTATGTAGCATTTAATTTCATATTTATTTTGTATAAGTGCTAAATTAATACATAGAAGAAAACATTTCATAGGTTGTCAAAGCACAGCAGACCAGGAAATCTGAGCTATAGCTCTTTGCTTCCTCCTACATTATCAGATTTAATTATTTCACTATTCTTTGTCCAGTAGAATAGGAATTTACAAATGTTATCTTTACATCAGGCATCACTGGAGCATGAAGAGTCAAAGATCCTTCGTGTGCAGCTGGAATTGACTCAAATCAAGTCTGAAGTGGACAGAAAGATTGCAGAAAAGGATGAGGAAATGGAGCAAATGAAGAGAAACAACCAGAGGATTGTGGACACCATGCAGAGTGCTCTTGATTCAGAGATTAGGAGCAGAAATGATGCCCTAAGAATTAAGAAAAAGATGGAAGGAGATCTCAATGAGATGGAAATTCAGCTGAGCCATTCCAACCGCCAGGCTGCTGAAGCCCAGAAACAACTAAGGAATGTCCAAGGACAACTCAAGGTACTGAAAATTTTACCCTAAACCATAAATATTCATGCTTTTTTTATTTTTAAGGATCATTTGATAGTCATGATGGCGTTTTGCTTTTATCAGGATGCCCAGCTGCACCTGGATGATGCCCTTAGAGGACAGGAGGACATGAAGGAACAGGTTGCCATGGTGGAGCGCAGGAACAGCCTGATGCAGGCTGAGATTGAGGAACTGAGGGTTTGCCTGGAACAGACTGAGAGAGGCCGCAAAGTGGCTGAGCAGGAACTGCTTGATGTCAGCGAGCGTGTGCAGCTGCTGCACTCCCAGGTTAATAAAAACCTCATATTTCTTACAAGTTATTAAACTTTCATCTTTCTTTTCATATTTCTGTAAGTTAAAAATGTTGTCATTTCAGAATACTAGCTTGATCAACACAAAGAAGAAGCTTGAGAGTGACATTGTTCAGCTCCAAGGTGAAGTTGATGACACCATCCAGGAAGCAAGAAATGCAGAAGAGAAGGCCAAGAAAGCTATCACTGATGTGAGTTACCCTCATGATTTAAATTCCCATTTAATTATATTAGGCTTATACAGTATTTGGTTCAGGGAGTATAATAACCCTCAGAAAGTATGATATGTTTTTAGGAAATGCATCTACAAAGTGTTAGTTTACATAAAGTTCAGGTAGAAAGAAAGGTAAGATTACAAGCAAGTATAATAAAATCATAAAATTACAAAGAGACAGGCATACAAACAACATAAAACAGTTTTGTGGAACACAAATGGTTCAGAAAAACAAATTAAATTCTAAAATAATAGCAATTATTTATTAGAAGTGTAGACAAAAATTAATAATTCAGATACCCTGTTGGCATGCGCTATATGTTCAAGCGAGTACTGTATGTTTATTCCATTTAGCTGCAAGTTTTTAAATTCGTACTATGAAATTCTTTAAGCTTATTCCATGTTATTATGAAGTTGCTCAGAGTTCCATTACAATCTAAACCAAACAACCTTCCCCATTAATAATTAATAATTACAATTTATTTGTTCTCTAGTCTGTGCTAAAATGTTTATGCTCAAGCCGAAATCTATAAACTAATTTAGCACATATGCTCAGTCTGTGTGATCCATCTGTTGTTTCTTGATGTCTTTGCTAAAAGTGATACCATTTTGGAAACTTAGCTCTGCTTATTTCTTCAGGACTTAAAAAGCCCAGGTAGAAATCTTTCCTCATGTACATTATTTTTGCTTAATAGATTTCCTTTTTAACCAGACATGAAGTCAGAGCCCAACACCACTATTCACCCCAAAAAAGAAGATTCTTGTAACAAAGAACATACAGTACATACAGTCCTTGTCTTTGATGTTAATAAATTCCAGGCTGCCATGATGGCGGAGGAGCTGAAGAAGGAGCAGGACACCAGCTCTCACCTGGAGAGAATGAAGAAGAACCTGGAGGTCACAGTGAAGGACCTGCAGCACCGTCTGGATGAGGCTGAGCAGCTGGCAATGAAGGGTGGAAAGAAACAGCTCCAGAAGCTGGAGGCCAGGGTAATCTGGGTGGGATGAACACGGTCCATTTTATACAAATACAGAGAAAAGACTTGTCTTCACATTTGATTGGATTTGTAGGTACGTGAGCTGGAAAACGAACTTGAAGCTGAACTAAGGCGTGGAACTGAGGCCATTAAAGGTGTCCGAAAGTATGAGAGAAGAGTCAAGGAGCTCACGTACCAGGTAAAATACTGATTGCTTACCATAATCTCCTCTAATGAAAAAAATATACATTTGTGCTGTAATTCAGTTTTGAAAATCATTGTGTTTTCTTCTCTACAGTCTGAAGAGGACAGGAAGAATGTGAACCGACTCCAGGATCTGGTCGACAAACTGCAACTGAAAGTGAAGGCTTACAAGAGACAGGCTGAGGAAGCTGTAAGCCATGGTTTTAACAAGCTTTTAGTAGTTACTTTCCTACGTCACAAATTACAACACTATATATAAAAACATTTTTGCCATTTCAGGAGGAACAAGCCAATGCTCATCTCTCCAAGTTCAGGAAGGCTCAGCACGAGCTGGAAGAAGCTGACGAACGTGCTGATATTGCCGAGTCCCAGGTCAACAAGCTGAGAGCCAAGAGTCGTGATTTGAGCTCCAAGGTAAGATTAAGAAATATATGATTAAGATAAAAGTGGAAACATATTATCAGTCTTCTTGTAGAGCCGTAGAGAAGAGAAACTTCAATATTTTAAGCAATTAACTACAGTAGTTATAAGTTATTAGTAGAATGTGAAAATTCAAACAATTCCTTTGGCATCTGGCAGAATCAAACAAAAATTATTTTTCTGGACTTCACACAAATGGCTTTGCCAAAGTTTTTTCAGTCTAAACTATAGTATTGTAGGCCCTCATCAGGCAGTGATGGGGCACTGAGCAATGAGGCTGGAGATGTCAGCCTAAGCAAAGTATGATGGGATAGATGGGAACCTGTCTGGGATAGTGGGGAGATATCAGGGTCATTAACTCCTGGGACTTGGGGTGAAGGACAGGGGTTTATGTACAGTACACATTGTGCATGTGTGACTATTCCATGTTTCCTGGCCTGAATTAGTCAGGACCCTGTACCTTCATTTTGTGTTATAGTAACTTTACTTTTATTGGCTAGGGAGAGCAGTACTTTTAAAGATAGCTGTCCTACAGTATATCTTTCTGATCAATAAAAGACCAATCCCATTACCACTTGTCTGCATGATTATTGCCCATGTTACACTGGTGTCACGAGTGGGCATTACAACCTTTCCTTCCCTCCCAAGCACCAGGAGTTAATGTCCCTGATATCTCCCTGCTATTCTGGATAGGTTCCCATCTAACCCATCATACACTGCTGAGGCTGACATCTCCAGCTTTATTGCTCAATGCCCCATCACTGCCTAAAGAGGGTGTTACAGTATACAATAGACTAATGTAAAAGTACAGGCAAACTGAAAATGTTTAAATTATGCCAGGTTAATTTATGTTATTAAATCTAGGCTATTTATTTACAGGTTAAGGAGGCAGAGTAAAGAAGACAAGGTGATTTCTCAACAAAGAAATTCATACAATATGAATTTCACGATTTTCTGTTAGTAATATTTGATTAATAAAAATATTCTCCAGCAAGGATTCCAAGTGTTTCTTTTATACAATACAATACAATTCGATACAAAATAAAAATGTATACCACAAAAAATTATACATATCTACACAAAATAATACAAGATCAACACATTATCAGATACTTAAGAAAGAAATATAATACCTGTAATTTTAAGAGTTTAGTTTTACATCCATTTTATACATTAGGAGAAATTTGTACAATAGCAGATATTCCTGCAAAACATTCATGATTATAATTTAAGAGCTCAGTTTTGGGATAAATATGATTATTTCAGAGTATCACTATATTTTTAAAGTTATGTGCATTGACGTTTGCACATCCATAAAAAAAGACACAAATGTCAAAGCCCTACATAAGGTGAATAAAGGTATTTATAGACACAGAACTGCTCTTACAGGGTATAAAAAGCTGCTTACAGCTTTTCTGACTTTTCATGTCAAACTCTTAGTAAATGTGGTAAAAATGCTACATGTTACAGATGGTTACAGATGATAGTAGAAGAAAATAACACCTTGTTTCTTGTACACTATTTGGTATCTAATTTCAGTTGTTGGCTTTTAAAAAAGAAAACAGCCATTTTGTAGACATATTCTAATTAGAACCTAACTGACATATTAGATGCCCAGCTGTCATGCTTTAAATTCAAAGTTAGAGCACTGCACTCAGTCACCCACATCTTGATTAAGTTCCTCTTAATGTAATGTAATGTAATGTAATGTAATGTAATGTAAGTCCATGTCCATGTTCAATTGTTTGCAGAACACAAACATTTACCTTTAAAGCTGAACTGTGCACTGAAAACCCCAAATTACTCACTAATTAAAATAATAGATTCAAAGGATTGTGGGAGTCTAGAACATGCCACCCAACCATAGTGTTGAAGTGGATACCCTGGCTTCTTTCAATAAACTGTTGGAGGAGATTGAGATCTTGGATCAATTAGATAACCAAACAGGTGAGACAGACTGAATACCTCCATTCACCTGTAACATTTACATTCTTGAATTTTAGTTCTACATTGAACCACTAAACTACCAAATGCAGACACATTCAAAATTCATTTTTTTATTTTTAGAAAACCTTCATCAAATAACCATTAGCAAATATTGTGCATAATTTATGAAGTGTTCAGCTGAAGATTTTGAGATTCTTACCAGGTAGGAGAATCCAACCTTTTTTTCATGCAAATAATGACTAATCAAAAGAAGTTGGGCTCACAGATGCTGATTACAAGACACAGATTACAAGAATGTCTTGTAAAACTCTTAATATGGATAAATGAAATGGAATCTAAAAATATTAAAGACATGAAGATTTTAATTATGTAATTTAGCAATGAAACAATAAAAATCCTTTTTTATTCAGTTTTTAATAAACAGTATTTCTGAAAGCTTTGTATAAACAAAGTCTTTTTTTGCATCATGAACCTCTGATTTTGTTTTGTACAATTGGGAATAAGACTTTTTTGTCCAAAGATGTCACTGAGACAAAATACCTAAATTGCAGCAATACTTGTTCAATACACAATGTGTACTATCATATTCCAGAGTTTTTCAAGGAAATTGTTATGGGAAGGACCTGGACAGACTCTGGGAACACTAGGTAGAATTTGAAGTTGTCTAGAAGGAGGTTGGAAGCACACCCGAAGAAGGCTCCACAGCCGAAATGTTGTGTTTCTTTTCTTCACTTGTTCCCTTGCAGCCCACGCATGCTGATGCAGCTACCTACTTGAACTAGAAGCAGGTTGGTGGAGGAACAGGCAAACATACATGATCAAAAAGGATTTTGTGGTGCTTTACTCTGGTTAATTAACTTGTAGGTAAACCATTAAACCCTTCAAGAGCTATATAACACAACATAAAAGACAAAGACTGAAGAAGGAAAGAAACAGAAGGAAGAGACCGACAGACAGTATGAACACCATCACTCTCCTCTTCCTCTAAGCTTGTACCATGCAAGAGGACATTGTTCTGATCAGTCTTGGAGACCAGATTCCGGCTAAGTAATTTAAACCTTGTTTTTGAGAGCTTCCTGTCCTGTTTATTTTAGGAAATTCTGATTTCCTTTATTGTAGAATCCTTAGACGATAAATGTGTTCTCTTTATTGTGGCGATGCATCTTTAGAATACGGAGAAGAAGTTGCATTCACTTTTGTACATTGTGGGAAGAGAGATTTAGTGCTGAGTCATATCCTTCCTTTTATATACTGTAGGTCACAGGGTTTTGATCTCTTTCTCTTTTTGGTCTGTTTACAGTAGGTGTTGCATAGGGTTTCAGGTTACAGGGTTAGCATTCTGTCTTTCTGGGTCTGTAAAACACAGATCTCCGAGATGCATAAACATACAGATGATTTATCATTTAACGTTATGTGTTACTGTATGTAGTTGTGTTAGTGTTTTGTTAATAAATATTATTTTTTTCTGTCTATCAAGTTTTGACTCGGATCTTATTACTCTTTTACCAATGCTGTTCCAGAGAATATAAAGAACTCACATGCCATTTTTTACATGCCTCAAATTGTTACTTACTGCTTAGTATAAATTCATGAGGCTGTCGAGAAAGGCCGAGATGTAAGTAGTTGGACAGTTGCATGCTGATACGATGGGGCGTCCAGGGGTGTCCGGTTTGTGGATTTTGGGGAGGAGATAAAATTGAGATACCTGCGGATGTTCAATGATAAGCCGGTTCGCTTCCTGGGGTAGCTCCTTACTGCTGATAAGAAGGGAGATGGTGGATACCACTTCCTTTCGGTAGTCAGTGGTAGGGTCCTGTTGGAGAGGGAGGTAAGCAGAAGTGTCAGTTAGTTGTCTAGAGGCTTCAAAGATATATAGGTCCTTATGCCACACCACAACAGCACCTCCTTTATCCACTGGTTTGATGACAATATCATCTCTGTTTTTGGAGAGACTGGAGCACCTGAAGTTCTCCTTGGGTGAGGTTGGATCTATGTTTACTGGGTATAGAGAGTGTCTTGGGAGCTTGATTTATGCATTGGTTAATGAAATAATCGACTGGTGGAAAACGGCCAGTGGGGGAGTCCAACAGCTCTGTTTAGGATTAATATTGTTAATGACATCAATAACCAAATTGTTGTCGGCTGCCTGTGAAGAGGAATCATCAGCAAAATTTGCTCTAAGATGGATCCTGCGGTAAAAGATGGTAAAGGTCAATGTTAGTCTGGGGGATGTCCAGCTTCCTGGGAACTGGTACAAAACTGAGGCCTTTGCTGAGGAGGGATCGCTCATCCTGTGAAAGGAAAAGGTCAGAAGGTATAGTGACAACAAGGTTAGGATTGGTGAAGGTGTTAGGGGTGTTGATGGTTTTCTTCTGTAGAAGATGACTGAGTTTTTTATCCTTCTCTGTTGTGAGAAACTGGTTGAGTTTGGAGTTGAGAGATCTAATGAGGTTAATTATAAAAGGAAGATGATGTGGAGGTGTCAGCCTCTTTGATGTTGTTGTCAGAAAGTGGTAGAAAGCATTAGTTTCCTAGAAAATTGTTTTAGAAGTCTCTGAGTGTTACTCAGGGTCAAAAGAAAAGGTATTAAATTTCAGGTGAAATCCTTTAGGAATGATATTATGTTGATGACATCTGTAAAGGAATAGAAGGTGGTTAGAAAGCCTGGTCTTGGAACAGATAGCTGTGAAGAGACGGAATGCTGGTTTAGTAAGAGAAGGGGGCAAGTGGCCCAGGGAGGAAGAGAAGGTATGACAAAGAGATCTAGAAAAAGATTTGGAGGAAGGCAAAGTGAACCTATTACTTGTTCCAATATTAAGCATGGCTCAACAATATTAAAGTTTTAGTGTTTAGGGATTTGAAATCAGAGGTTTGGATTTTGACAAATAGTCTCAACTGGATTTTGCTCTCATAATTTAGTTCAATTTAAGCCATTTAATGGAGTTGTTAAGACAGGTGTCTAGGGGTAAAGGGGTGTAACATTTAGGATGGGTTTGGGTGCAGGTGGGTTTCTGGTGAGGGACTTAAAGAAGGCAGTGTGACAACAAGTTTGGTGCAAAAGTGATTTTAGAGAGACGAAGCTGAAGCAAAACGAAAGCAAAGCGAAACTGAAGCGGAGTCGAGCAGAACTGAAGTAGAGAGAAAGGCCCTTTCATTCTGATAACCTACAAGTTAAATACTGAAAAAGTTGAGTTCTGATTGGTCAAGAGTTGATTGAAAAAGATGTCACAATGGCAAAGATGGTGTAGTAGTGATGGACCAATGGGGGGTAGCTGAATAGGGGAAGTGAAAAAAACAAAAACACGGACACACACATTGATGTAACAGGAGTAAATTTTAATTTACTGTTGAGTTGATTATATGCCTTTAGAACTTACTCTGCTGAATTAATTAGATTAGTTTATTAGTATGTCTAAACTGTGAAAATAAGTCATCTATGAAGTTAAAAGTATGGTACTAGTGATTTCCACTCTAAACAAATTTTAAATTTACAGTAATACACAAATCTCCTTTTGGATGAACACCAATAGTACTGTATGTCACTGTATTTCTGTGGCAGTACCAGAATATAGTTAAACACTAGATCACCATAATAATTCAACATGCGGCATCTACAGTATATTTAAACATTTGATGTGAGTTAATTCAGGTTCTCAAATGATGTTGAAAGTAAACATTAAAATAATGATAATCTAAAATATTGATAATCTAAGATGCATTAGATCTCTTTAGACAAATAGGATGTTGGATATGTGTGTGCACATTTTTTAAAAGTAAATTGTTAATTGTTAAGTTCGGTCAAATTGTTTTGTTAACTTTGTAGACATTATTCTGATTTACAAAACTTTTTGTGTTTTGTAAACTATTTAGTGTAAAAAATTTTAGAATAGAAATGTGGAAAAACAAAAACATTGTAAAGTTTAAAGAGCTAAATAACTATCACAAAGTGCTCTGACAACAGTCAAAAAGTTTAGTCTTTGGTCGTTTGGATGTAAATACTTTGCTTCATTCAAAAATAAACTGTGATAAAATTATTAGAAAGATGCTTGT